TTATATTCACGCCGTTTAATAAGAGACGTGAACGTAGCCAAATCGGCTATATTCATGCCTTTGAGTCCGGGACGTGAATGTAGGCAAAAATTGACTATATTTACGTCGTTTAGTCAGGACGTAAACGTAGGCAAATAAAAATCGTCTACATTCACGCCGTTGAGTCAGGGACGTGAACGTAGCCAAAAATCAACGATGAGTCGAAGAACGTGAAGGTTTTAAAAAAAAAGTGGTAACGGTAATAATCGTTACATCCATAGCAATCGTGTTACCGTTTTAAAATTAGTAACGCGTTACCGTTACGATAAAAAAAAGTCACGCATTATATTTAGATCAATAAAGATACCATTTGCAAAATGATAAAGTAACGTCTTATCATTTCAAAAAAAAAAATAGACAGGAGGCAGAAAAATTGATTTCCTTAATTAACTCTCGTGTCTAACAGATTTATTTTCATGAAACCCTTATTTTTTTTCTTTTCTTTTTAATCAGATAAGCAAAGTTTTTCGGAGCGTCGCTACTTTTAAGAGAAAAAAATTGTTTTTTTTTTGTCTTTTTTCCTTCTTTTGACAAAACTAACCCCGGATAAAATTTATTGAAGATTCGAAGGAACTTTTCCGTTACTCACGAATTGCGCTGACGCTTAACTTTTAAATAGCTCGACACGCGCTTATACAAGGTGAAATTAGTCATTTTTGTTATACCTCTATATTTTTTTTTATTCGTTTCTTTTTTAAAAAAAATGGAAAATTTTTCTAAACATCCAATATCAGAATAGAAACTCAAAAATTTTGAAAAATATTTCTTTTTCTTTTGCAAAAAAATTATATATATATATATATATCAGTCAAACGAGGTGACTTAATTCAAAAGCCAGTAGACACATCATATCTATATGGAGAAACAAGGTTGGCAGGGAAATGTCAGTGACAGAAAGTTGAGCAGGTATATAAAGAGTGCATTTCGCCCTTCGCAAAAAAAAAAAAAAAAAAAAAAATGCGCAAGGAAAAAATGTCGTAAAAAGTTTCTTGGAGGAGTTTCGATATAAGCAACGGAAAGAAGGGAAAATGCATGTAGGCAAAGTCGCTTTTGCCTCATGGTTTTGCACATGAGAGAAACTGACGTGTATATGTGTATATCTGTGTGTGCCAAGAAAAAGAAACGGAAAAACGAATATATATATATATATATAAAGATTGTGTGTGGTGTCAGTTTCAGACTCACGAGTATAAAGTTCGTTGAGATTGTAGGCGAATCTTTATAAAATATTAACGAATTCATCTCACATATATAGATTTAGAAATAATTCACAATTTTTCTTCTCTTCTTTTTTTTATCAGATTATTATTATATAAATGACATCCTCAATTTGATTAAAGAAATTTTAATAATTTATCTCTCTCTCTTTCTTTTTTTATTTTTCAACAGTCATTTTATTGAAAACCATTATCGAATTTCATTATTTAACGTTTAATCTACATGCCACAACTATTATTATTCAAATTTAAGTAATTTTTTTACAGATTTCTACATTATCGACATTTTTTTATATTATTAATGAAATTGTCAGCTCAATTCGTTGTTTATATTTAATTGTTTATAATTCTTTTATTTATGGTTTTTTGAAATACATGCCATAACTATTTTTTGTCAAATTTAGATAAAAATTCATTTACAGATTTCTGCGTTACCGACATTTTTGTAATTAGTAATGTGTCAACAATTATAAATGCATTTTTTGTTACAGAAAAACAACAACACGTGAAAAGAACGATTTTGTTTACTAACAGTGTGATAAATTTTTACCGACTGTCGGTAATGCAGAAATCTAATTAAAAATTTCTTTTTAAAATACGAAAATATATGTAAAGGCATTTAGTTTACACTCTATGTTGTAGATTTACACAAAAAAACTCAACAATATCACTTCTACTTTTCGCAAAATTTAGAAGAGAAATAATTTTATATGAATTCACAAAAGAAAGAAGCGGTAAATTTAAAAATATTATATTTGAAAATCAAATTCATCTCCGCAATTGTATAAAATTAACATTAATTTATAAAAATACACAATTTTTTTTTTGCTTTTTAATTCACTATTCAATGAACTCGATTGGACAAATATGGGAATTTTTTATTTAGCACATGAATTTTTTCTCTTTAATTTTATATATATATATATATATAAATAATATGTGAAAAATAATTCACAGTCTTATCGTGAACAAGTGCCTCCTGTCAGTATATATAAAATGTGAAAATGAAATCAATATAACGATATCACTGCGAGCGTTAAAAAGGATTTTCGATTATTTTCAAGTGTTGTGTGTGTATGCAGGAAAGAGGGGGAGGGGGGGGTGGGTGAGAGCAAGTATACAAGAAGTCATAATTGTCGGATATATATGATTCCGTCAATATGTCAATCCATCAAAATGCACACAAAATATTTCCTCCCTACCTTTCCAATGACGTGCACATTAATTTCGCAGGTAGAATTTATATATATATATATACGTTTAAACTTTCAGAACGAGAGCTGTCAACTAGAATATGTATGTGAGATTAGTCGATATTATCGAAGTATATATATATATATGTATATGAGAATAGGAAGATACGATCGAACGACGAGCTGCCATGAGATGTGCAAGGTGGGTGAGGGTTTGAAAGGCGCGCGTGGGAGGGGGGCGAATCGAAGTAGAGAAGGGTTACAAAATTAGTTATGAAGCTTGTTCATTAATATGTCGATACGTTTGACTCACGATTTGGAACAGAAATATTTATAATCCGTATGAGAAACGACTCTACCATACGTCGTCGTCGTCGTCGTCATTGGAAATTCGCTTTTCCGATTATATAATCCAGTTTCGAATATCCAATATAACGTTTCTACCATTCTTCCAAACCCCCTACACATATATACATTCTTGTAGCAGCTCGACTCTTTCACCCCCTTCTTTTTTTTTATGGTATACATTAATTTTTTACTGACATTTATTGAAACCATTTACTTCTTTTTTGTGCTTTGAATTTTCATTTTAAATCCCCCCCCCCCATCGCCAAAAAAAACACTGGTCTCTTCTGATGACAAAAAAAAAGAAAAACATGAGAACAATTTTTCAACACATTTAATATTTTTTTTTTTATCAATTTGTATTTTTTTTTTTTGTATTAATTTTTTTGCTCAATAGGAATGTTAAAATATTTTTTTGGAATGAAATTCTTTTTATTTGTAAATAATAATTATTTTAGTTTTCTTTAGAAATTTTACTTTCGGCTTTATCATCATTTAATTTGGAGGTTATGTTAAAGTTGCTTTTTTTGGTAGAAATTGCAAATATAGAACACATTTTTTTTTATTGGAAAAAAAAAATTTTTTTTTCCTCTTCTTTTTTGCACAAAGCATCAAATGTCGAGAAGAAAGAATGGCTGGGCTGTGAGCACGTTTAATAAACTCAATTACCTTATCGTCTGACATAGGTCGGGTTCCGCGGAGCGGAGAAGCACCTGTCTACACCTCTCGGATCCAGTTACTTGTCCAAGGGTAATTAGGTGCTAGTTGCAACGGCCATAAGTCAGCCCAGAGAGAGAGAGAGAGAGAGAGAAACTCGAGGACACCCGCGGTATAATAAATGGGAAAATTTTGCCGCTTTATAAATATCGTGATCGCATTAAAAAAAATGTTTAAATTTGAAAATATCCCTTTGGCAAAACTTATTGTTTTGTTCTAAATTCAAAATTTATTGTAAACTATTTTTTTTCAAATTTAAATAAATATTTTTTACCGGTTTCTACCTTACCGACAATTTTTTTAATTAGCATTAAATTTATGAATTCATTATTCGTGGAATTAGAAAGAGAAACACGTCGAATAAACAAATTTGTTTACCGACAGTGTGGTAAATTTTATTTTACCTACTGTCGATAATGCAGGAATCTAACTAAAAATTTCTTATTAAAATACAAAAATATAGGTAATGGCATTTAATTTAGACCTTATGTAATAGATTTATACAAAAAATTTGAAGAATATCACCTCTAGTTTTCCCAAAATTTAGAGGAAAAATGATTTTCTTTGAATGCACAGAAGAAAAAACATGAGAACAATTATTTTCTTTTCCAGATTTTAATTTGGAGATTAAGTTTTAAAAAAAGAAATGAAATGATTTTTTGATAGGGTAATAATGTCTGATAAGTGACTTTAGGAAAAAAAATTATTTTTACATTATTATTATTATTATTATTATTATTATTATTATTATTTATTGATTGTGTGATCCAAATATATATAATTTTGCATTTTGAACAATAAACAAATACTGCAATCATCATTATAATATAAAAAAAATGCATTATACTCGGAGATTGAACGGAATTATTGCAAAACTCAATTATTAAAATCAATTCTAATGAATTTCTAAATAAGCCCACGATATGAAATTAATCTCGGTGAGAAAGCACTTTGTATGTTTGCATTATGTAAATGGATATACATTATATAACTGGGCATTTGACAAAACACATATTAATTCCCTAATTATGAAACATTTAATAGCATTTTGCAAATTTAAAAAAAAAATAAATTTACATATAAATAAACATTGAACATTTTTTTTGGAAATAAATACAAAAATTATTTTTTTTATAAACATTTTTTTTTGATAATTTTTTAAATAAATAGTAAAATTTTTTTCGAATTTTTTGTTAACTATTTAAAATTGGTAAATTTTAATTGAATTTGATTTTTTGTACACTACTAAACAAAAAAAAAAGTTGTGAAAAAATGAAGAGATCGCTTTTTTTTCTTATTTTTTTTGCGAAAAAAAAATATATAAGAACAGAAAACCCTGAGTAAATTCTCGATTGCAACACTTGAAAGATGAAGTATACAATGAAGATGTGCTTCATGTGCTTTTATGTGAAGGTGTGCTTGAAAGCATGTAAGTAGATATTATGTGGCTACCCCATTAAGGAAAAATCGTTTCCCTTCTCTGTTGTAGAGTACCTGATGTCAGGAAGTCCTCGAACCTATCCGGCACGGTCTCCGGGGGTTGCATCTACGCCTACAGTCACCAGGTGAGTCGTTGCTTCAATTTTCCTTTACTCCTTCTAGTTTAGATAATAATATGATTATTTATCGATTAGGATTTTTTTTGAAATTTTTACTTGTAACTAAAATTTAAAGAAAAAAATTAGAAAAAACTTTCTTCTTTGTGAAGAAGAAGCTGTTTAAATTTTAATTCGTAACTCTCAATTAGAAAATTAAGATTATATTTAAAATGGCGTTCATTTAAACACCTACTTAGGTACGTTTACATTAACCACGCCCTAAAAGGGGAGGCACCAAAAATAGGATACGCCTCCTTAGGTACGTTTAGATTAATCACGCCCAAAAAGGGTGGTAACCCAAATAGGATAAGCCTCCTTCAGTACACTTTGATGAACTACGCCCTCAAAGGGGAAGCACCAAGAATAGGAAACGCCTCCTTAAGTACGTTTAGATTAACCACGCCCAAAAAAGAGAGTCACACGAAATAGGACACGCCTTTTTACGTACGTTTAGAATGTACGCCCAAAAATGGAAGGCACCCAGAATAGGATAGCCTGCTTAGGTACGTTTAGATTAACCACGCCCAAAAAGGGGATGTACTAAAAATAGAATACGCCTACTTTGATATGTTTAGATTAACCACGCCTATACAGGGAGGTTACCAAAATAGGATACACCTACTAATAGAGGTGGGGTGTTAACCACACCCATAAAGGGAGGTAACCCAACTTGTACACGCCTAATAATAATATAGATACAATAATTTGAATCGAGACAAGTTTAGTGGTTATTACAAGTTTTATTAAATATATATTTTTTTTAATAATTTTGTTGGCAATAAAATTTTTTTTTGTACATTTTACAGTTGCGAATTTTCCAACACAGTAAAGTAGGTGTAAAAAAATGTTTCAAGTGTATCAGGAGAGTAAAAATCGAATAGCCTAAGAGTTTTGGGAGAAGGAGAGTGAAAATGTCACCTCAGCGAGTGAGAGAAAGAAAAGAGAGAGAGAGAGAGAGAGAGAGAGAGAGAGAGATAGAAAAGAAGAAGATCGTGAGCTTTCGGCCAAGCGGAATTCTAGGGTCGTTAGAGGCGAGGTTATAGAGACTTGGAAGACAGGAATGAAAGTGGAAGAGGAAAAAGAGAAGAAGAAGAAGAAAAAGAAGGAAGGGGTATGATGTTGGTGAATGGAAAGGGAAGTCTTTACTCGTGGTATGGTGTTCTTTTGGCCCGGTTGCCTCAGCAACAGAGTACCTTCCGTTTGACCCGCTGTTTCCGGATGATGCGGATGTCCTTTCCTCACCTCATTCTCCTTTCCCTCCCTTCTCTTTTCAAAGTGTCTTCAAATCCCGAACTTGGAAATTGTTTCCCTTTTTTCGCACAAAAATTGTCCCTTAAATTCAACTCGCAATCTTCTTTCTTTTTCACACTCAATTCCGATCTTCTTTTTTTTCCCTTTTGCGAAGTGGTTTCTTTTTTTCGTTTTTATCGACACACTGACATAGAAAATCTTTTTGAAATTCTGAATTTGGGAAAATAATTTAAGGTTATGTCGCCAAAGAAACTAAATTCTCCGCTATTATTTTTCTTTAAGATACTTTGTTGTTTCTGTAAAATTATCAAATTTTTTTTTTTTAAATCTTTACTCACTGAAATATATGCAAATACATAAACACACAAATTACAAAGGCACAACGCATATTTATATTTCTAAGGATGAGTAAAAACAGAGAGAGAGAGAGAGAGAGAGAGAGACGGTGTAAATTCTTATATAATCCACTCGGCTCGCATTTGTTCTCACTTTTACCAATTTCACGGACATCTTCTTCCTTGTATCTTGTCTGGCGTTGTTCTAAACAAAGAGAATAACCAAAGCCTGCCACTGGTTAATGTAACATTATGTGCACACACGGCAAAAAGAAAAAATAACCACAAGCCCATTTTCTCAGGATGTTTTCTTATTTTCTTTTATATATATATATAGTATATCTAAAAAAAAGGCTCTTATATAGATTTCTCAAAAAAAAAAAAAAAATGAGAGAGAAAAAACTGGACCAATATACTACTACTGGCAAGGAAAATCATTTCCAATAACGTTTGACATCTGTCTCACATCCGCGGCAATCGAAAACGAAGGGGGGAGACTCATCCTTATATAATCCACCCTTCTTTAGTTGGGACATTTAGAAAATCCCTTTTGCCCCTTCTTTTCTTCTTTTATTACTGTGTGTGACGCCCTCTAAAGAAATATAGGGATCATCTAAGTAGGAGAAAAAAAAATTATAGGTTATGTTTATGATTGCTTGGACTAAAAATACAATTCTCAATAAAAAAATTTTATTTTTGCAAACAAAAATCATAACCTAAAATTTCTAAGATAAAGTATTTTAAAAAATACTAATTATTTGGTGTTAGTAGATAAATAAAACTAATTTAAGGAACTTTAGGTAAAGATAAACTAAAAATAGTAGATAAAACAAAAATAATAACCTAAAATTTATAATACAGGATTTAGAAAAAACTAATTTTTCTGTGTTAGTATATGAAACCACAAATAATGATGAAAAACTTTTATTTTTTTTCTCTTAATTATATATAAACAATGAAGGAAACTGTTTAAATTTTAATTCGTAACCCTCAAATACAAAATAAGGAGTATATTAAAAATGGCATTCAATTTAAACGCCTACTTAGGTACGTTTAGATTAACCACGCCCATAAAGAGAGGAAACCCAAGTAAATTACGCCTCTTTAAGTTCATTTAGATTAACCACGCCCTAAAAAGGGAGGCACCAAAAATAGGATACGCCTCTTTAGGTACGTTTACGCCCATAAAGGGTGGTAACTCAAATAAGATACGCCTCCTTCAGTACGCTTAGATTAACCACACCTTCAAAGGAGAAGCACCAAGAATAGGATACTCCTCCTTCGGTACGTTTAGAATAACCACGCCCTAAAAGGGAGGTAATCCAAATAAAATACGCCTCCTCAGGTACGTTTACGCCCATAAAGGGTGGTGACCCAAATAGGATACGCCTCCTTAAGTACGCTTAGAGAAACCACGCCCTAAAAGGGGAGGTACCAAAAATAGAATACGCCTCCTTAGGTACGTTAAGATTAACCACGCCTAAAAAGGGAGGTAACCCAAATAGGATACGCGTTCTTGGGTACGTTTAGGTTAACCACGCCCATAAAGGGAGGTAACCTAAATAGAATACACCTCCTTAAGTACGTTTAGATTAAACACGCCCAAAAAGTGGAGGTAGATAAAACAAAAATAAACATTACCTAAAATTTCTAATAAAGGATTTAAAAACTACTAATTTTTCAGTGTTAGTAGATGAAACCACAAATATTGATGAAAAACTTTTTTTTTTCTTTTAATTATATATATATACACAATAAGAAAAAAGGCACCGCCCAAGGGGAATTAGTAAATCCTAGTAGTTCGATTTACAATTCACCTGTTTTATCTGAATGCAATTATGCACCCTTCGAATATATATATATATATATATATGTCAGTCCGTAGTATAGGATTTTGTGCATCGTTCAGCGCTCGCAAGGGGGAAAAACTGAGTTAGCCCGCAGCTGCGTATAATAACATTGTCCAATTGGAATAGTTATGTACCTTATCCAATCCCACCACCACCAACCCTATAGTATCGTTTTTTATTTTTTTTTTTGCACGCGCGCAACCTCGACAAACTCATCGGTTTTCGTACGGGTTCTCGAGTGCCGTTCTTTCATTTGGGTTTTTTTTTCTACTTCACTACTTATACTCTCGATCAATCGTCAAACGATCAAAAGGATACCCGTATCGTGCAAGCGAATTATGGGACGTGAAATAATGGGACTGATTCAAAAATTGATCGAAGAAGGGTATTTCATTATATATATATATAAGATATACTGTCAAATGATATCAAGTGCCTTTCAGTATAAAGATGATTGAAAAAAATACATCGATATTTATTATATGCTGGTTATAAAGTGGAAAATTACTGATATATTTTTGATTGGATAAAAAGGAAATAATAAATGGGATTATTAGTTTATATAAAAGAGGGTAACTTTATTCAATTTGCAATGATTTTTTAGTAATGAAATCTCAAATAGATTTAGTTTATTTGCAGTTTTTTTATTTGTACCTTTAAACTACCGTAGTGGTCTCGCAGACCGCTGTCTAATTTTTCCTCTATGTTTAATATAAAATAAAACTATTTTAGAAACTACTTTTTACAATAGAAACTTCAACTTTTTAGTAGCTTCGTATTTGATCAATTTTGACCCTTAAACTTCCAAAGCGGTCTTTTAGACCGTTATCTAAATATTTTTCGTCTACTACTTTGTTTTTAAAGTACAGTGGAAATTTTTTAAATAAAAAATCGTAAAAAAAGAATAGCGGTCTGACAGACTGACAATAGCACTAAGGTAATTTTTTTATCACCTACAGTTTAAATTTTTAAACTGGAAAACTTCTAATATAATTGATATTGCCTTCCACTGTATACCCTATGTAGAAAATATGAATATAAATCTTTTTAAATGTGAAATAAAATTAAAAGAAATTAAAAAATTAATACCTAATTAGTAAATTGGTATAATAAGGTTCAATTAATTTCAATTTACATTATCAATATATATTTGTGAATTTCTCCAACATTTGCTAGAAAGTTCATTTCAATAATCCCATCATTAGTTTCTCTCTCTCTCTGTACTTTTAAGGTGCTTGTCATATAATTTGTGCCTCTTGATTTTTTTTCCAATATTTTATATATAGTTAAACCCCAAAATACGATAGAATTTCTCATTAGCATTGACGAGAGAGAGAGAGAGAGAAGGAGCTTTTCTCTCGAAATTATTTGCTTTCAGTCGAAATACCTTGAGATGAAGAAAAGAGACTTTTGATGGCAAACATTGAGTGCAACGCGATTTCGGGCCTTCTTCGCATCGTCTCCCATTGAAGCGTTGATTTGACATAGCAATTATTTTGATATCAAATCACTTGAAACTCTTCTGTTTCAA